AGAACACCAGCACCGGCATGACTCACACAGGTGTGGCATTTGAGAGTTGGGACGTGGGGATTTTGATAACTGGCCCTTGGGGTTTTTTTGGTGGAAGGGTGGGATGCTGGTTGCTTTTTTGGGACATGAGTTTAGCCACGGTGGCAGGCCAGGTGCACCGGCCCCAGACAGTTGGCAGCAGTGGTATTAGAAGAGCGCTCTCAGGGCAGCCCCACCAACAGACACGGGATGGCAGACCTCGGGGCTGACACCTGCAGAACACTGTCGGGGACGGCCCACGGGAAACTGCTTTTCTGGGCAGTAGCAAAGCCTTACTCACTTGTGCACAACTTCTCACCATCCCACTTGGAGGCCCACCGGAGCATGGTCTCGACAAGAGCCCTCAGCTCCCCCAGGCCACCACCTCCTCGGCCCCATGCTGTGCGTGCCTTCCTTTTTATCCTCATCACCCTGGGCTGTGAGCCCAGCAATGAGGCGCTCCCGATTCCCCTCTATCCTCAGGGTCACATCTAGTGAGCCTGTATGGTTCAGCCTTTCCTCTCTCAGCAATGCTGCTGCCCCCACTGCCCTGGCACAAAGGAACTGTGACTCTAAGCGTGAGTGCTGAGGTGACCTGGTCCTTAGGAGTCACACACACAACGTTAAGGAGGCCCCTTCCTCGTGGGCAAACTCCCCTGTAAAATGGGGATGGTGATTCTAGCAGCCCCTCCTAGAAGCTGTGGTGTGAAGGAGCCACTGACAGCACAGCACACTGCTGGCTGCACAGGCCCGGGGGCTGCTCCAGGCTGGCGCACGCTAGCCCTGTGGGGTTCGCACCCTCTGCAGAGGCTGGTCCCCAGAGCTCCACGGCAGCAGGCCGCAATGGGTGAGGGAACTGCTGGGGCTTGTCTCCCCGAGTGGCTTAAAGCAGGAGCCCGAGAAGGCTTGGCTGCTCGGATGAAGTGCATTGTCCACATCCCTTGATATTGCAGCTCTGAATAGCAGGAGAGATCACCCACACTGGGCCACCAGTGCTGGGGAAACCTGACTTGGAGTTCCCAGCAGATGCAGTGTGGGAAGCAGGAGTGGGTGCTGCTGTCAGAGCAGGCCCTGAGGATACGGAAGGGACCCCTGCTCTGGCTCCTGTCCAGTTGCGAGATTCCCAGAGGCGTCAACTTGGCTGGTGTGGATGGAGGGAGAAGGTAGGACCCCTCCAGCCAATGGAACACAGGGAGCCTCTGGCTCAAGTGAATCCTTCCGGGTTAGGGTTTAGAAGCAGGTGCCTTGCTCCTCCCCAGGCTGGCATTCGGGGCCTTCACACCTGGGCCCCGTGCATGATTCTAACTTCCTTTCCTCCTGATCCCATCGCTCCCTCATGCAACTCCAGTATCTCCTTCACACCCTGCCCACATTCAAACCCCAGGCAGCCCCAAGGCCCAGGCCCAAGGCCACCTGCTCTTCCTCCTCCTCCTGCCCCTGGACCTCCGTGATGCCCCCTCACCCGCCCTGGCACTCAGTGAGCTCCTGCTCTTGCCTGCAGTCAGGTGAAGCACAGGCTGCAGACTCCCAATTCAGGGAAGGCCGAGCCCTGCAGGAAGTAACCGCTCTCAACAGCTGGGGGCGATGGCCACTGCCCCGAATCCCTAGGCTCCAGCTCTTACAGTAGCTCAAGGGGAGCTTGGCACCTGGCCTGCCACCATGGCTAAACTCATGTCCCAAGAAAGCAACCAGCATCCCACCCTTCCACCAAAACCCCAAGGGCCAAGGAGGCCTGAGGA